ATAAAGCTCTGACTTGTATGATGAGTCTGTGGTCTGGGAGAGAGTCTGTAACTCTGTCTGCAAAATACAGTAAATAATGACCAATGTTGGGAAATTAATTATGTAGTTACTTCTTCAAGAAAGTAACTGAGTTTTGCAAACAACAAAGTTTTTTGCAGCTGTTTACCTACAAATGCAGCCAAGACGTTTTTTAAACAAACATTTCAAACTATTTCCAGAACAATCAGCTGTTCTGCATCAAATCTGATGCCACACAAATTATTTGTGCCACTCCAAAAATAATTTCTGTCCACTATGAGATGAAGGAGAACAACAGCCTGATACCTGCAGGCCTGACAGCAGCAGATGTGTCACTGCTGTAACACCTGTAACATTCAGCAGTCGCCTCATTGTTCTGACACACAACACTATTAACTACACTCAGTTAGCAGAGCGATGCTACTGTGAACTGAGGAGCTGTTGTCTTGATGTGAGCTTCTACTCAGGGTTTTTTCTTCCAGTTCAGAGCAGAAATGTTTTTGTTGTGTTTTTCTCCACAAATTTAATTATAAGCTAGATTTATTTCTACTAATGAAATCAGTTTGCTAACAGCAACAGGGATGAGTCAGTGAGTCAGTTGGGCTCGTGAATCATGATTCATGAGTCAGTAAAGTGATTCTCGAGTGTTGAACGATTCGTTCATGATCATTGCGCATCACTACACGCCACTTTGCTCGCCAAAACACCGGTGTCAGCAGATAAGGACGCTGTCATAGCTGCATTTATACGAATGTGAATCGCATCATTGGCTGGACTCTGGGATAAGGTGGCATCGTTCTGATCCCATACAGGAGCAGCCAGTCACTGACTAACACTGCAGAACAGAATTGTTAAAGTATTTATTTTAATTTCAATTCAGGTCAGATTTTCTTCTGTGTGTAGAGACCGTGCAGTTTAGAGGGAACGTTGGTCCCACACTGCTTCAGCAATGCTGAGGTCCAGCTCTGGGGAGGCCCATCCATGATTGATCGTGCTCCACTGTGTGCTGACATGCTTTGACTGTGCTGGCAGTGTGTATGGGATCATTGTCAGGCTGCCAATCAGAATCTTTCAGATGTTACTGCATGTGGATCAAAATCTGATTTTCTTCATTAATCAGCAGTTTTAACTCCAACACACATCCAGCTAATGAAACCAGTCCAAAGACTCTGGCACTGCAAACGTCTCTGTTTCCACTGATGATTCCCAGCAGTGGCTGTGAGCTGACATTGACCTAACCCTCCTCTGTGTTCGGTGTTGAGATAAAACAGGAGCGTTTCATCATCTGCATCTTGATATTTTGAAACCAGACTGGTCACTCATCACTTTTGATCCTAAATCCTCAGTGAGAGAGAGCGAGGAACAAAAGCAGCTCCTCCTGCGTCCGGCTCCTTTGCTACTCTCACGGGAAAATAAACATCATTTTTTATTGAAACCAGAGACTGAGACCATCAACCCGACAGGCTGGATGAGCTCAGAGATCAGCTGAGCAGCAGCTCTTACAGCCAGAGGAGGTCTTAATGCAGGTTTGCCATATTTGGAGGGACTTTTTGTGTCGTCTGTGGTTACACTTTTAGTTTTTCATGTGTTGGCTCTAAACAACCACCTGATGGTGCTGTTGTCTCTGTCAGCTCCACCTCAACTTTGAAGCAAAAACAGGAAACAGGAAAGAATAAACAAACATCAAGAAAGGGCAAAAGTATTTTTAATAATCCAGAATTTACAAAACAAAGATCAGAAAGAATCAACAACATGTTTCACGCTTTTATTTCATGGTTAACTTTTAAAATCACAACTGAACACTGAAGCACGAACGTTTTATTGCAGCTTGTCGTCTAATTTTCTTTTTTCAGTTGAAACCAGCAGTGAGAACCAGGTTACACTGAGGTTAACTTCACTAACATTCACTCACATAAGTAATTTGTTTGCTTCAGAAAAGCTGGACACGGAAAGCAGACGGTAAAGAAACTCCTGAAGGCACTTTGGTGTGAAGACATTTCACAAGCAGCTCAAACCTCAAAACTCAACAAGAGAAGAAAGCAGGCAGGACTTCCTCATCCTCACAGATCAGCTGTAAGAACACAAAGAAAACAAGTTTGAGATCACAACTACAGGAAAACTTGTAAAAATGACTCAAACCGTCTGAAAATCTAAACCCGGTGACACTAAAACGCCACAGAGTTAGCGCAGTTTAACGTGACGTTGTTCTGGAGTCACCTCAGCTCTGAGATGCTAACGCCAACACTGACTCTACTCGAATATTCAAGTTTATAGATGCTGAAGTTTTTTGGGCAGAAAGTAAACGGTGCTACACCGAAAACCTCCTCGAGGTTGCTTTGGTGCCTCGTAGTTTGCATAGAAGTCGCTGACTTGCAGCGAGTCGTCAACGACTCACTGAGCTGCTGTGACAGAGCTCGCCTTCAGAGTAAAAGCTGCATGAAATGTGTTGGCTACAGCAATAAGGCACAACTTTTACTTTGAAAGCAAAGGTTCTGTTTCCAGTCTGATCCAGTGAACCACAGGAGACTGCAGAGCTCTGCTACCAGAACATAAAACACAGGTTTTAGGTGCAGCACTTTGGGACTGACGTAACCTAGGCAACAGTCACCCTCCAGTCAGTCACCGGGAAGCCTGAGCTAACATTTCAGTGGAAAGTCCTTCATGAGCGACTCCAGCTGTTCGTCAGAGTCAGAGGTCAGTTAGATTAACTAGTTCATGGAAAACTGCCTAACGTGGTGAACAACGGCTGTCCTGACAGGTGAAGCAAAGGGCGGCACTCACCGTTAGCTGAGCGGTAGCAGGCAGCATGCAGGGTTAGCAGGCGAGCAGCACAGCTGGACAGAAGCTGACAGATGTGACGAGAGCGAAGACAGAAATAAATGAGGCGAGCGCTCGATGAGCAGCCGGTCCACAGCGACGCTTCACCTGCACAGGTGAGACAGCAGCTGCTGCCTCAGGCTACAGCGACAAAGCAAAGTTCTCAGAACACACCCGGGAATTATTTATTCACCTGGATCAAAATACAGAAAACTCAACAGGAAAAATGTTGATGACAGTCGTCCAGCTGCCACACCTCTAACCCACAGGTCACAATAAAGATGGCGAGTCCGCTGCACGTTCACCACGACTGAAGCAATGAAACTGTCACTACCCGATCCGTACCGGAAACCCGATCGGTACCCCGCATGCGCGAAAGGTGTCTACTTCCGGTCGAAGCGTTTTACGATAGTTACAGGTCAGAGTATCTGTTAAGATGTTAAGAATAATAAGTATATCTTAACATGTTTCCAATAATGAAGCATTTCAATATAATGTAGACAAAAACGAAAAATAAAAAGATAGTTACGGATCAGGACTCCCCGATCCGTACCGCGCATGTGCAGATGTTTTCTTCTTCTTCTGTTCGTTTAATGGCAGTTTACTCCCCAGTGTACGAGGATACTGCCACCTGCTGACCGAGCGAATGAACCCTATTGTAAAATGAATTAGCGTCATTACAAACGTGTGTTAAATTTGATTTAGTGATAGTCGAGTGTGTTTATGCTTGTCTGTGTGGAGAGGATTGTTGGAATAGTGATGATGATGTCCGCTATCACTGTCAATTGTCAGTAAACACTTAATCTGGCTGATGAATCTTCACGTGACACATTGCTAAATCAATATTACAAAGTCTGTATTATTAACTCTGTAATTAGGCGCCATTCTTCTTATTTTACGGCGCTGTTGTTCAGTCGGGGAACGCTCTCTGTTGAGGAGAAAAGCGTGAATTTGTTTGTGTTCGGGTTTTTCCTTTTTTTAATTTTCCGGGTAGTCGAAAAGGAGGCAGAGCTGTTGAGAAATGCTAGGAGCTAACTGGGCGCTAACCGTGTCATTCAAATATATTGAATGTCGCAATGTTGGCAAAGAGAGGAAGTGACGTAAGATTTGCGCATGCGGGGTACCGATCGGGTTTCCGGTACGGATCGGGTAGCGACAGAAACGACCCGCGCTTCATCCCCACAGGGTCGCGACAGGAAGCACGTCGAACATGTGGAGCTTTAGGTGGAACAATAGAAAAAGTAAAGCTTGTATTCTATTTTAACAGCACCTGAACATGCGTCACTAACACGTTTAGAAACGCGTCACAGTCGGAGTGGAATAAAATGCTCCATACGACAGGGGTGGGGACTCCACAGTGTCCAGGCTGCCTCTGACTGTGTGACAGCTGATTATATTAATATGATGTTATTATGGTTCTTTTAAATGTGTGGTGTGTTTGACCAGAGGGGGGCGCTGGTGAGCTCCACGCTGCGCGTCATGTTTTCTCCATAACAGCAGCCGGTAATTATGGGCCACGGTTTCCTGTGCTTTGGAGAAAGCGCTCAACTGTTTGGCTTAAATGATTCAGCCTCTATTTTTGTGTCTGTAAGCGTCTGAATCATTGTCACGCTGCTTTGACGCTGCACGCCGAGTTTCTGCAGGAGGCTGATATGAAGTCTGGCAGCTCGCTGCTAGAATCACAGCAGCTGTGATATCAAATCCACACCCGGAAATTAACCTGCTCCGGACAGCAGCTGTGACGGCGTCTGCTCTCAAAGTTTCAGCTGCACTCGTCTGGGAGGCAGACAGACAGTAAAATCAAGTTACTGTGGCCTCTGCAACAAAGTGCTCCAGTAGTTTGTGCAGGTCAGGAAAATGTGTGAAAGCTGGAGACTGAACCAGAGATGACCGGATACTTGCAGGACAAAGAGACGAAACATGAAGCAGGAATAAAAACCAAATGATTGTGACGATGCTCAGTCACAGCGCTGCCTCCACAAACAGGCAGGAGCCCTGAAGTAACGCAGATAATGGAAGCTGTGTCTCAGCGGCTGCACTGAAGAGGAGCAGCAGAGTCTGAGGACGTGTCCACGCTGTGACTGTCCCATCACACTTCTGTGAAAATGCTCCCAGAGCTTGTCCAACCCTGGAGCCTGGGACACGTCAGTCCCAGCGTGGTCACGTGACCCCGGCGCTCTTTTCTTTTAGATTAAAAGCTCGTGAAGCCTCTCAACACTGAGCGTCTCCTTTATCCCCACAGAGAACATGTGACCCACATCGGCCGCCTTTTGTCCCTGCTGGGTCACACTCAGTTGGTACACTGGTGCATGCTGGGAGGTTAAAGGGGCGGGGCTGAGCTTCCTGTTAACAGACGCTGAAGGACATGATAAGAGGATAAGCAGCCGCTGTCTGGGGCGGCGGGCTGGGTGTAAACACAGACCATGTGACCAGCAGTGAGGAGTGAAACAGGGAGGAGCATCAGCCGCAGGGATAGACCAATCATAATCAGTCATCAGCACCAGCAGAATATCTCACTGCAGAGACAGGAAACGACTAAAAGTTGGGACACGCCCACCAACCAGCAGCTGGACCCGGACGTCCACAGGAGACGCAAACACAGACCCACGGAGGAGACTCCACAGTCACAGTGAAAGAAACAACATGATGGCGGCAAACGCACGGCTTCAATATTCCTGCAACTCCTTTTAAATTTGTTTTCTTTTGATGTTGCAGCTGAAACGAATCACACGACTGCGTCTGAGCTTCCACGAAAGCTGATTCTCAGAGTTTATTTTCATCGATTGAATCAAATCATTGCAGTTATTACAGATGTTTTAATCATGTCCCTCCAGCACATTTAACATGTTTGTTCTGAAGAAACCAGACTTCAGATGAGAGACGTGAACCTGCAGCTGCTGTCGGCTCTGCAGGAGACCTTAATCAGGTTATAGCTTCTTATTGGACGCTTCGGTCTAACTGGCTGCATTTGTCCCACCGGCAGCTCTGTGTCTGTGAACGTCGGCGTCAGTCTATCTGTGCTGCAGCGTTAGGGGTGATTAAGGAGGGGCGGGGCTGAGGGTTCAGGGGAGGATGTTCTCCTTACCATCTCCTTCCCAGCACACTGAGTCTGCTGAGGCTGATTACAGAGAGGTAAAATCAGACGTGAGCTCTATCCTGGAAAGATAAAGGTGGAGGCTGTCAGACACGGCACTCATACAGAAAAACCTGCAGAAAACAAAGGCTGGTGCATGCTGGGATATTCCAGGAGGGACGGATACGAAAAGAAGCTTAAATGAAAAGTTTTATGTCACTTAAAAAAAGCCTGATGATCACGATTCTGTGTATAACTGAACACGGCTGTCAGACATGCAGGCGGTGTGAGAGCAGCACATCACAGGTGTCACATGATGATGATCCTCCCAGTCTGCACAACATGATGAATAAGGATGCAACAGTCCCAGTACAGGACGCATCAGGCTGCTGCTGCAGGACTGAGACCAGTCAGGGATGAACTTTGACCCAAACCTGTGCAAAACAAAATCATGCACTAATGCAGATCATTTATATTGCTGATGAATGCACATGATCACATGATGCATGACAGCTGATGAAGAGGACAGAAAAATGACTGTTTGTGGTCAGTTAGCAGCTTTCGTGCAAACTGTGTCCCACAGTGAGGAGCGACCTTTCCACGCTTCAGTCTGGAGGGACTCGCCCTTTCTCCAGTTTCTCCTGACTCAGAAGGTTTTGGCCTCCAGGTGTTCGACACCCTGCCTCAGGGAGGACGAGGCTGCGGTCAGACTGAACACAGAGGTAAGGTCAGTGTGCAGCTGGAAGCAAATGTTCAGAGTTTAACAGATGCTCGGCGAGGATTCTGCACAGGCCTCCCCTCCTCCGCCACACAAAGCTCCAGTGTCCAATCAGAGCGCTGCACTTGTGCACTCCCCACACCGACAAGAGTAGAAAATAAAAACGGTGAAATGTGCCAGACTTTCATCCGCAGGCTGCGTCTCTACTTAACTGTGATTCAACAAAGAAGAAACAGGAACTGCAGCTGCAGGCTCACAGACGGGCACAGACAGCACGCAGCAGCGGTTACGTAACACTGCGTTCAGACAGCGTCAGCCTCAGGACGTGTAGACAGACACGCATGTACGAACCAGAGCGCTCTCTCACTCCGGCGAGGACGGACCGGGTCCTCAGCAGAAGTGTCGATTTGAATAATCAGTTAAATTTCTGCTGGGATGGAAACACAGGAGTGAGCTGCTCCCAGCACAGGTACGACACAGGTGCACCTGAGGAGGTGCAAAGGGAGGCCATGGTTCTGGCTCCACGCCGAGCCCAGTCTACACGAAGCAGCCGTTTACTGTCGGTCTCCACCTTTCCTGCTTCTCCCATTCATGGCGTCACGCCCTTCCCTGTTCCCGCCCACTTTTAACCAATCAGCATTCACACTGAGCCGCGTGCCGTAGAGACAGCTCTCTAACCACATCCATACAGCTGGTTAATTAAACCCTGATGAGTTCAAATGAAACCACAGATGTTTGTTTTCTGAGCTCTTCCATCAAATCTTCCACGCCGAGTGTCAGAAAGCTTTAAGGAGCCAATCAGCTGCTCCGTGCAGCCGACCCGTCCATGCATGAGAGAACAGCGTGATCACGGCACCAGGGTCAGTGTTAGCATGCAGTGAACCTATCAGCCAGTACACCAACCTCTGCTCCTCCTCCATGTCCTCCTGGGTCATCAGCGCTGCCATCTTACTCTGTTTCGCTCCCGGGGTGAAGCTCAGCACATCAGCAGCTGCAGCCACATCTGGAACAGCAGAGGCAGCGCAGACATGTTAGCGTCCGATGTCAGCTCTAACTCATCAGCTCAAACTGACCTGAAGCACATTTTACAAGATTTTTCTTTTTTTATTCTTTATTTTAAAAAGTTCTTCAGCTCAGGCGTCGCGTTCATTTGCTGCGTCACTAACAACTGAAGTGCATCTGTTTCCTTTCTTGAAATAACGAGAGCAGCAGGGCTCACAGCTGTGGTGAAAAGTTCTTACTGCAGATTTAAAAGTCCAAGCGGTCACATCGCTGCACTCTGGTTCATCATTTCATTATTGTGCAGCAACAACCTCAGAGCACAAACGCACCTGTCGCTCCAGCTGCTGCGTGACAGCTTGGAGGTCATATGGCGAGCCGTCAGCCCGCACGCCAAGAGCTTTGCTGCCTGTTCAAGATTAGGTATCATCCTCCTGCAGCAGATGGCTGCTTCACCTCTACGCACGCCGGCCGATACAGTAACCACGCTCTGGCTCAGCCGGCGTCGACAGAGCGCGGTTACGCATCATGCATGAACCTGGATACTGATCCAGACTTGCACACAGTGATCACAGGGAGCCGGATTTCCTCCTTGCTGATTCATTAACAGCAAATCAGCTGTTCTGAAATATATTCCTCCAGGTCACACGTTGTATTTCAGTAAGC